ATAACAAGTGTTGGTGAGGAGGTGGGGGAGTAAGAACCCTCAAGTACTGCTGGTGGGAATGTAAAACGCAGCTGCTTTGGAAAATAGTCTGGCGGGTCCTCAAATGGTTAAACAGAGATTTTTTTAAAAAACCTATTGGAAATCTTGAAGGAAGAAAAATACAAAGGTTACATGTGAAACCCACAAAGTTCAAATTTCTGATTCGACTAAGCACAGCTAAACCCCAGAGTTGGGCGAGGTGGCACAGAGGACTGGTTAGGGCTATTGTCATTTTTTAATTTGACAATTTAAGGGAAAAGGGGTCAGTGCCCCTGACTAAAAGTCAGGTATTTACTGCTTTAAAAATCCTTGTGGCACACTGGTTGCAAGTAGGGAGGTATTTGGCCTAATGAGGTTTGATCAAATCAATGAGAATCAAGCAGGAGCTCTAATTAAATTTCATCTTTCTTGTATCTGTTTGGTCTTATTTTGTTTCCCAATGGGAGCCTCTACTTGGTTTCCCAGGACCTAAAGCTGATTATAAACAAACAAAATCTTTTAAATTTTAAATGAGACATTGTTTTAATTCTAATATGTAAAAGTTTTTATTTTTAAAGGATTCATTGCAGAAAATAGAAAAATATAATCCCATTTCTTTTTTTACCCACCAACCATACATTGAACATTTTGTTTTATGCCTATGCCCATGGACATACACAGACACACGGATAAATGAGTGTCATACTTGTTAGTATTATTAATAAGAAAAAGTGGCCAAAGGACCTGGGCAAATATTTCACAGAAGGAAAACATAAATAAACTTTAAATATATGAAAAGATGCTTACCCTCACTCATAAGAGAAAAGCAAATTAAAGGCACGATGAGACTGTTTTTCAGTTGTCATGTTAGCCAAGTCCTGGCATTAGCACACTCGCGGCATTTACCTACATTGCGGTAGAAATGACCAATGCACACATTCAACATGACATAAAACACTAATATTTATTTCAGCATTTTTTTATAACAGGATTGGGAATAAGCCAACAGTCTATCACGGAGAACTGATTTTATAAAGGAAATACGCAGCTAAGTGGCCCTATGTCCTGGCATAAGAGCTCTAAGATGTATAAGTAAGAAACGTGCAGAATAATGTGTATTGTGTACTCCCTTTGTGTGTTAAGGGAGGGAATTAGAATGTATATAAACATGCATATGTATTTATATATGTGCATTGATCGCATAATAAAAACAAGAAGGATGCACGAGAAACAAAAATGTGGTCTGTAAGATAGTGCATTTTACAGGTGCTGTGATGTTTGAACCATGGAGGTATTACCTAACAATTTTAGGTACCTGTCCAGGTTGCAGCACGTTGTCCTGTGGAAGGGGCTGTGATGGCTCCCGGCTGCCTCAGAGCTGAGACAGCAGTGCTGGAGCTCAGGAGCTATTTCAGTCACCTGCTGGCCTCAAACCGGAGACACATTAGAATTACTAAAGGTTTTATTAAAGTCCGGCGCCTGGCCTGTGATGCAGTCTGTGTCTCAGTGATCTTTTAAAAATATTTTTAATTGATTTCAGAGAGGAAGGGAGAGGGAGAGAGAGAGAAACATCAGTGATGAGAGGGAATCATTGGTCCGCTGCCTCCTGCACACCCTACAACCCGGGCATGTGCCCTGACTGGGAATCAAACCGTGGCCTCCTGGTTCACACAGGTCAATGCTCAACCACTGAGCAACGCTGGCCTCAGTGATTTTTAAAGGCTCCATGAGGACAGCCGCTGACATAATGGGTAAAACAGCAGATTTTCAGTCAGATGGACCTGGAATCATGTGGACGCAGGCACTACTCCATGTTTAACCTCTGGCATAGTAGCCTCTCTACAGAGTCTTCCCATCAGCGCAGCATGATACCTGCACTGTGGTACAGTGAGAGCATTAGACGGAGCATGCAAACTGCTGAGCAGAATTCCTGATGCTAAGTTGTAGGTACTTGCTGTTATTCAAACAAAACAGTGGAGCATGCAAACTGCTGAGCAGAATTCCTGATGCTCACTAAGTTGTAGGTACTTGCTGTTATTCAAACAAAACAGAAGAAAGCGAACAAAAAATAGCCTAACAGAACCCGCCAGAGACCATGCATTTACCCAGATAAGTTTTCATGGCTAACGATGTGTCGAGTTTCTAGCTTTTTGGCTGAATTGTATCATGTGGGTATAGTATCTCTTACTATCTCTTATTATTCAGAATTTCTAATTGGCAATTATATAGGACTTTGATGAATGTAAAAGGAAAATCGAGTATTACATCATTGTGGCTTGCTTGATTGACAGAAAGCCTTCACAAAAATCTATGAGTTTACGGAGAAAAGAATCTAAAACAGTGGAGAGACTTCATAATTGGAAAAGTTTTGAGAATTGTTGCCTTGGTGTTTCCCTTCTTTTGTGGCTGAGAAGTGTATGGAGTACTCTAGCTCTATAAAGACTATTGGGCCGTGAGTGCTTTTATGTGGAATTGTAGAAATCTCTACCTAAGTTTCTCATTGCACACCTGTGGATGCCACCTATTGTTCTGGTATTTATTTCACCCAACAAAGTGCCATGAACCCTAATCACAGATGTCTGATTGGTGTGTGTGAGGTCAGCATATAAAAATCTTCCCAACATGAGAAAAATTGTGTGGCAGGTTAGCCTATAACCCTCCACAGTGGGGCCTTGACTTACGAGTTTAATTTGTTCCGAGACCGAGCTCGTTAAGGAGCTCGTTAACTCAAATTACTCTGTCAACTCAACACAAAAAATCAGCCGAGAGACAGCTGGTATCTCAAAAAACTCGCTCGTAAGTCAAGACCCCACTATAATTGTATGAACAGCATAGGAGTAAGGAGAGAAAGCATAGACAGGTAAAGAGGTAGTTCTCTTCATTAGCTCTTAGCCTAATAAGGAAGAAAATTTTCCTGTCTTAATTGAAACTAAAATTAACCCGTTTCTACTCTAGTAGCAACTATTGTAGATGTAAGAGCAGAGCTCCAATAACCAGGCTTCCTGGGTTCAAATCCAAGCTCTTCCTGTCATTAGCTAACTATGGGGACATTCTTTATCCCCTCTTTGCCTCAGTTTCCCAATCTGTAGAACAGAGATAATTGTACTTGTTTCATAAGGTTTTTGTGAGAATTAAATGTTAACACATACTTAGGTATTAAGCACTGTGCAAACGTTTGCTATTATTACTACATTAGGATATTAATCATTGAATTTGCAAATATGCTAGAAATGTGAAATTATTTAAATTGAACACTTTCTCGTAAAGATGGGTAAACTTGGGCAATATGACATGGTCAAAGCCTGGCCAGTGTGGCTCAGTGGTTGAGCATCGACCTATAAGACAGGTGGTTGTAGTTCGAGTTCCGGTCAGGGCACATGCCCAGATTGTGAGCTTGATCCCTAGTAGGGGACATGCAGGAGGTAGCCGGTCAATGTTTCTCTCTCATTATTGATGTTTCTATTTCTCCCTTCCTCTCTGAAATCAATAAAAATATTTTTTTAAAAGAGAATAAATGACACAGCTAGTTAGACCCAGACCAAGTAACTGAGGCTCTAACTATGGAGTGGGAGGTGAGACTTCTGGCCCAGTGTTCCTCCCACCACACCGTGTGGCAGTCTTGCTGTGATGAAAAGTCCTGGACCAAAAAGAAAGTGTACCCACCTCCTACCTCAGAAATGCCCACAGACATACAGAGGCTTCTACACGGTGATTCTGAGGACCTCGGGACCCAGAGAGCACCATCGGAGGTCCTGCTCTGCCTGGGACTCTCAGTTCACTTCATTAACACCCCCAAAGAGCAGCTGCAAATCTGGGACACATAAAATAAGGCAGGATTTCCATCCTGTTGCTAATCAAGGGAGCAATTATGGTTCTCCCAGGAGAAAATGTAGGTGCACCTGCAAGTCCTTAAGAAAATTCTTCCTGGCTCCTTGGAGGATGCATGTAGTAAAGAAGCAGTGCATGTTTGTTTTGTTTTTCCCAGTTGAAAGTAGGTGAAGGGGAGGCCACATGATGCTAGGTCACAAAATATGGCTCTGAGTTTAGAGAGACCTGGCTTCAAATGACCGTTACTTACAAAATGGTCACCAGGAGCAGATAACAATCTCTCCAGTCTGTAAACTTGGACTGTACCCACCTCCAAGGGCTCTGAGAGGATTCATGGGATTGCCTGGTTTGTAGTAGAAACTCACTGAGGCACTATTCCATCCCCATCTAACCTCTCCGCAGGGAAATAAGATTAGAGATGACTGTCAGGGTGTGTGTGTGTGTGTGTGTGTGTGTGTGAGATCTATTATTTCTAAAGTAGAGCTACTAATAGCTGCCAATGCTATTGAGGTCGTACATGTACCAAAAATTATTAACCCAACTAATTCACACAAATCAAGGAGACCAGGCACCGTAACTGCATTCTACAAATGAGAAAATTATGGCACATAGAGTTCAAAGAGCTTGTCTGAAGTCACACAGAGAGCAATGCTAGACCCAGGATTCAAACCCAGGCACTTAGGGTTCAGAGTCGACGTGCTTCACCCCTCCCTCACACTGCCTCTCCAATGCCAGGGCAGTTCTCACAGGGTGATTGCGAGGGAACTTGATGCTTGAGAAACACTAGCATAGATCTGAGCACACAGTGCAAATCATGGCAGGTGATACAGTGTCGCCATTGCAATGTCCCAAACGGAACCTTTGAAAGAGGAGGTGGCCTTTGAAAGAGGAGGAAGCTGGGCACCTTCATTTGGCACTGGCTCCCCGAGGAACCAGTGCCCCAGAGAAAGCATCCGAACGACCGTCTCAGGGAACGAACTAGAAATGTCGTGTGGACCATCACGCCAACACTGCATTTGATACCTCACTTGTCATGTCTTTCTTATCTTGGACTTCCGATTAGATTCATCAAATTAAAGTACATAGACAAGAGTAGACTTTTGATTTAAAAAAAATTTATTGTCTTATTATGAAAAACAAAATACAGGATTCAAGTAGCAAATATGGCATCTTCTGGGTGTGTAAAATGCAAAGTTCAGGGCAGTTATCTGGTGCAAAAGCACTAAGGAGTGTGACTAGAGGCTGCGTGCTGTCTGTACTCAGAAGGCTGATTATTAGGCTTGGCTAGAGGGGCTGATGGGGATTATGGGAAGATGGTGCTAAAGGGTACCCTTTGGCCCTGCCCCTGAGTAATGGCAGAATTTGTTATTGTTACACAGGTGAATTTTCTTTTGGCCAGTGGTTTGAAAACCATTATGCAAAAATGACATAATAGAAAAATGCACATGTGAACGGAAATCATCCAAACCCAGAAAGAAAGTCCAGCTAGATCCTCAGCAGACAGGTTCAGAGGCAAAAAAAAGAAAAAAAAAGGAAAAGAACATTGATCCTTTTGTGCCATTATCTGTTATGAACTCTTTCCATGGTCACAGACTGCTGTTCTCCGAACCAGACAGAAGGAAATGACGGCAAAGTAGACCAGGCTCTTGAGGAGGAGGAGGAGGTAGGTGTAGTAGGCAGAGGTATTGATGAGCTGCAGCTGAAGTATATCTAGGAGAAGTCAATTTATTAGTTTCACCTGTTGTTTTGAAAGGGTAGGAAATATTAATGGGAAGGGGTCACACTTATTTACTTCTTATAATCTTCATTAAAGTGACACCCTCACACCACCAACCCCCCAAATAAGCAAACATCTATCACCTCTACCAACAACAACAAGACAATGTAGAATCCAGCTTTTAGGCCAAGTCAACCAACAACCTCTGCTAAATTCACTTAGAGCGCTCCAAAATATTAAAAACTAAGGTTGCATTTTTAATGAGTGAGTCCACTGAGAAGAAAATATTTGTGGTAAATAGCTTTTAGCATCTCTTCACCCCCACCATATCTCTAATTAATAATAGCCAATATTCATTAACCACTAAACAAACGCTAAACACTCTTAGAGCTTTGTATGCAAAGCATTAATCTGATATATTTTTACAACAACCTATGAGGTTATTATTTTAATTCCTGCTTTACAAAAAATTGGGGAAAGATAAGTAATTTGCCTGATGTCATGCATTTAATAAGTACCAGAAGATGGATTTCAATCCCAGCAACATGAATTTACAGATCACATTCTTAGTTACTCTGTAATTCTGCATCTCCAAGTACAATAAATAATACCCCAGATATCAAAGGGTTAAGCATGCATATAAAGTTGAGTTGCTGATTTAGAAGTATCTGAGGCATTACATGTGCATGCAATATGATTCTTACCAAGGGTACAATCCATGAAAATTTGGTGGTGTTCACAACGGGGTGGATGCGAGGTTTTAGTAGAGGGCATTATGTTAACTGGAAGAAAGTGGTTAATCCAAATTCTCTGCAACTTTAAGAGGTGATGGCTCACCTGTCTTTCCTGAATGTCTCTCACTGGGGCTATGATACTATAGGGTAATTGCACTTAATATCCTTTGAAGTTTTGCAAAAAATATATGATGTCAAGATATGATTGATGACAGTGATGGAGGGCCAGACTGTTACTCAATGAACCACAAGGTCACGTCCTTTCCTGTGGAAATTTCCCTTTGACATGCTTTATCTTCACAGCGTCAGCACTCCAGAATTATTAGCACTTGGTGTGGAAAGGGGCCTCAAGAGGTGATGTGCTCAGAACTCTTGTCCTTGGTCAGAGAAGGTATTAGTTGAGGTCCAGAGTCCCCTTGATATTGGAAACGGCGGAGAGATCAGCAGGACTAGAGCTAGTGCTTCTAGTTGCTTTCTTTGTGCATTTGTAGGGGGAAAGGGCCAGAAACTAGTACATATTCTATGCCAGCTAACTGAGATACCTTACGCTAGACATTCCACATATGTGACCTTATCTCTTTAAGAACTGAGTTAGGTGTAAGTATTCCTGGTTGGCAGATGAGTGAAGTATTTCTCATAAAATGTTAGTACCCATATTCATGCAACTAATTATTAAAAGAGTTGGGGTTGAAGCCCAGTCTGTGGTACTCAGAAGCCCATGCACTGTCCCCAGCCCCGCCCCAGCCATGCATCCATTGTCCTGGGGCAGTGGTCGGCAAACTGCGGCTTGCGAGCCACATGCGGCTCTTTGGCCCCTTGAGTGTGGCTCTTCCACAAAATACCAGCTCTTCCACAAAATACCGACTTCTGCACATGGGCCACGAAGTTTCAATCGCACTGTACCACGCGCCCGTATGTGGTATTTTGTGGAAGACCAACACTCAAGGGGCCAAAGAGCCGCATGTGGCTCGCGAGCCCTGGTTTGCCGACCACGGTGACCTGGGGTCTTGGCTTTCGGCTTTCTTGTTCAATGACTTGACTCATAAAGGAAGAATAGAGAACTGAGGAAGTTTATGAACTCTTGACTCAGGTGTCCTGGGCTGACAGCCCAGATCTAGCTGTGTGTCATGGTGTACGGGACTTAATTTTAGCTCACTCTCTCATCTGTAAAATGGTAGAAAATATAGTTACTACTTCACAGGAGTATTATGATAATTGAACAAGGAAATGCATTCAAAACACAACACTATGCCTTCTGTATAAGAACTGCTCAGTAAATGTCAGTTTATGTTATTAACTACTAGCAAGGACCAAAGATAAAAATCTAGAAGCATATTGATAGCATGTGTTCCCTAATCAATAGAAACAAAAGTCATGCAGATGAATAAAATCCAGTGTTGAAATAATTGTGAGCGTATCACCACACCCCACAGTCATCTAATACCAAAATATAGCATTTACTGTGTTAAGATAGCTAATAGGAAATGATGGTTTTGCTTAAAACATCATTCAGTCTATTCTGCAAAATCCAGCCATTCTGATTTTTCTACCTTAAGCCAGAGAAGTTCAAAATTTAAGTTGATCAGAAGGGAAAAAATGCTACAGCATGACACAAAGGCAAACATATGCAAGAACTTACCACTTTTGTCTTCCAGATAAACTTCTCTTATATGATTAGTAGCAGCCTCTACAAGAAATGAGAGCACTATTAATGAATTGTTAGTAACCACTATTTGACTGTGTGTCTGGATAGACAGATATATAGATAATAGATAGATAGATAGATAGATAGATAGATAGATAGATAGATAGATAGAATCTACCAACAGAGAAGAGAGAGCCATTAAATATATGAGCCCCACAATTCCAGGAATAGTTGCCCAGACTCTATGTAATTCAGTAGACCTAATACATATACCGTGTTTCTGCATGTGAAGATGTTGAAGGTCATGAAGGGTACATTTTAACTTTTTAATCCTATCTGGAGGCTACTACCCAAGACTACCTGTTTTCCTCCTGCACTCATTGCTCCTAGCACAGTGCCTGCCGCAAAGTAACTGTTCAATAAATACTTCTTGAATGGGAAAAAAATGAACAGAAAAAGGAGCTGCTCTACAGTCTTCAGCACAAACTGCTGACATGAACAGTTGCTACTCAGAGAAATTTGCTTAATTGAGGACCCACAACAGAATCTTACATGTTTGAAGGAGTCTGGTTTAGACAAATTTCCCATCAAAGCCATGCCTTTCCAAATCATGCATTTCCCCAATATCCCCAGCTCACCCACATAATTTTCTGCAGTTGTGTTTGTGGACATGACAACAATATTAATAAACGCTAATGTCTACAAAGTGATTATTACTGTGCGAGGCTGTGTGGTGCAGTGCATGTCAAATGCTTCACATGCATTATCTCATTTAATCCCCCAGTAACACTGGAGTGAGTTGTATTTTGGAGGGCCCCATGTCACAGACGAGGAGTGGGGTTTAGAGAGTATTAGTGACTTGTTGAGAGGCACACCAGTGACTGGCAGAGCCAGCATTCAGAGGACTGTTGTGGGAGATTGAATGGGAGAGAACAGGTGGAAAGTACTCTGTAAAAATAATCCATAGAAATAGAAAATAATCTATAGAGAAACAGCATACTTCCACCATTGTAGACACTAAAACATCTCTTCCAGATGTCTTAGTTATGCTTAGCAAATGACCTTTTTACCTTAGGAGCTTGGCATTTCAGGGCAATTCTTTTCAGATAAACCAAGTCACACTTATAGTTATTTGAATATGTAAAACCTGAGGTGAGAGTTGTGTTTATCTACAATGTTTTTTTTTTTTAAAAGGCAAATATATTAAAAAGAGCATTGACCGTTGGGTGGAGGAAAACAGTAAAAGGCAAATATATATACAAAGACAAAATTTCTTAAAAAGAGCATTGACCGTTGGGTGGAGGAAAACAGTCGCAATGGTAGCTTTGGCTCATCCTTTTCTACTAGATATGTTCTTGTCCGTACGGATGTGGTTCTGGTATGCAATTTTATGCACTCAACGAGGTCCTTTTTTGCTGTGCTTTAAAAAAAAATGGGTCTGAGGTACAGACTTTGTGGCAAATCGCAAGATTGAAAATGTCAGTATAATCACATTTAGATGTTAAAATGTCCCCCAAGGACTCACTTTACTGTGTCTTAAAAGTCTCTTTATTTTCCTTGCAGTGACTTTATTCATTAAGAGATAAATAAAAATCTCTTAGCACCATGCACTGACTGAGGTAAAAACAATAAAGTAACAATTTTTCATCATGAAATCCGTGTGTGTATCCTAATTCTTTCCTAATCTGGCAGAGAACTTGGACCAGGTTAGTTTTCTCTCTCTTCAAAATCACTTCATTGATTTGTGCTTCCATGTTATATTTTCAGAACAAAAAACGACAAACAAAAAACTTCCGAGAAACAGCATTAGAAATTTGCCATAGAACGACATGAACAGAAACACCCTCGTTAGGTTTGTTGCCATGAGACATTTGTTTCAGAAATTAGACGCCAAGTAAAACACCTCGTAACCAAAACCTTCTCTCCTTTACAATAGTCAACCCTGGTCACTGGAAAAATCAAAACCTAATAGGACATTTAAGCCCAGTGATTGTATTAAACTTGTGCTTTGCCAGTTTGCTTTCTTTCTGTTTGTTAGCCACAGACATAGGAAAATTAGGGCTGTTTCGGCAATCTTACCCTAGTTCTAGGAAAGGATATAAATACACATACATGAATAAATACATTCGTGTTATATTTTTGAGAGCAAGCATTTCATAGACATTATTTCAAACCTTACTTGGTCTCTGGGGAAACTCAGATCTAAGATAAAGACTGGTACACAGCAAAGGTCTTAGCACGTCTGACATCCTCATTTCCCACTGCTTAGAAAGGCTTGTTAGCCACAGGGTAAAGATCCAGCTGGCTCCTTCTTCCGGGACCTTGGTCTGTTGTGTTAATACTCAGGACTTGAAGTTCTGAGTCCAGGGAGTTATGGAACCACGGCCGGGGCCAGGGCACATTCGGCCCTCTGCCTACACTGGCTAAATATGTACAGCATCTGCATCAAAGGCACTCCTTTGGGACATCATGCCTGAATCCCAGGTGACCCTGAATGTTTAGGAAAAGACTACGTTCTCTTCACTGTGTGCATCCTCCTGGGAACAGAGATTCGTCCTAGTGTATTCATCCATACCCTTCCAGGCCCGACACACGCTAGTACTGCACTACATGTTTGTTGAGCAGCAATACCAGTGGCAAGAAACATACTCATTATGTAGAATGGAAATACGTTTCTAGGCACTAGCCTCACCAAAATTTACCTGCAAAGGTACATAAAATACGAATCTGGAAAACCTAGGACCGTAATAACACTGAAGGTCTAAATTATTCTATTTTTCGGTGAACCTTGATCCAACTCCTTCAGAATGACACCATCAGTCGCCCAAGACTCATTGTTTATGGGTTATACTTCAAGCATAGCAAGACTCAGGCATGAGTGACTTTGCTTGCTGAGCAGAAAATTCCGGAAAGATGTATGATTATTCTTATTTCCTGACCAAGTTAGATAATTAAAAGTGGAATCTCTTTTTGAGCATTTCTTTTGTGCTAAATTGCTGGTGCTGTCATGTAGGTTGTTTCATCAACAACCCTAAAAAAATCATGTGACTTTAACTTTGAATGATAAAACTGAGGCTGAGAAAAGTAAAATTTTTATTTCGTTATCTTTTTTATGTCCTAAATCCTATACTATTTTCAATCCTATGGGAAAATAGCAGGACATTTATGCTACTATTAAATGTAGCAACATTTGAGGAAGATATATGTATATATAATTATAATTATTATTAGTACATGACAGACACATGGGGCATTCCCTTTGGGGGCAAAAAAGTGTTCTGGGAAGATTACACACACACACACACACACACACCCACACACACACACACACATACCTTTCTTTATTGCAGGAAAAAGAATCTCTTGATCCACTTTATTATGCTCATGTTTGACGATACATTTGTGTTCTTTATTCATTGACTCTTCACTCACGGTCAGCCAGCTGAATTTCATGTATGTGTCATCAGTCTTCATGGTATTTCCCTGCTGAGATTCCAGAATTGTATCGCCATTTTTTTCCTTCCAGTACACCTTGATAACATCAGGGAAAAATTTCTCAAGGAGACAAATATGTGTTCCAGCCTTATGAAGGCTTATTTCAGCAGCTGAAGGATGAAAAATGGTGGGCTTGGGGTAGTACCCTGGACCATAGCTTCTATCTGTGGGGAAAATGGTACAGAAATTCAGAATTAGAGACACACAAACATTGTGTGGTTTGGAACAACCTAGCATACGGTAAAAGGAAGGAAAGCTGCCATTGAATCAGTGCTTATAATGGCCTTTCATCCACAACATAGCGTGTGCTAATTATTGTTCTTATTTTCAGATGTGAAAAGAGGTTTCATAACTCGCCCAACGTCACAGCTATTAACTGGCACAGCCTGAATGAAAACTTGGCCCGTGTTCCTTCTCCATGTGCTAAAATGGGGGATGACCTTTAACCGCTCCAACATTTGTGAACTTATTCAGTTTTAATTTCCCTCATGCTATCATAGGCGGAGGATGGATGACGGGGATAGGGGGGTAGGGGAAGAGATCATTTCTCTTCAGATGAGAATCCTTAGTGGCTTCTACAGTGCAAATAAACAACAACCAAAATAGACACAGACAGCACTATGGTGACTGCCCGAAGGCAAGGGGGTAGGGGAGGTAGAAGAAGGTACAGGGAGGATAAATGGTGATGGAAGGGGACTTGCCTGGGTGGTGAATGCATGATGTAATATATATACAGACGATGTGTTATAGAATTGTACACTTGAAACCTGTGTAATTTTATTAACCAATGTCACCCCAATAAGTTCAATAAAAATTAAAAATATAAAAAGTAAAAAATAAGGTGCTTTCCTATCCCATGCTATGACTTTTGTAATTTAAGCTCTTTTTGGCCACAAAGTCTCCTGTTCTGTAACTCTGTGGGAACTCACTCTCTATTAACTGATTCTGAAATATACCAAATTATCTTATTTTCATAAAAATAAATGCCAGGAGAAAGTTTTTCTTTTCTTTCTAAACAATACACAGTCACTTGTTTTAATGGGAATCTACCACCAGATGTACTTTCTTTATCCAGTTATTCTTTTACCTTCCAATATGGACCTCACGCCCAGTTCTGAAGTAATAGAGTTCTCCTAATAGGTTTCACATCTGAACCGCTCCAGATTTTTTAGGGCAGTATTGAAAACTGCACCTCCAAATTGTTTATGATGCCTTGAATTTAGAAGCAAAATAGCAATAATTCCAAAATTTCTATTAAAATTTTCATTGATTATTTTCAGAAACACTTATCTTAATCTAGCGAGCAAATGCCCTTAACAGAATTTCATTTCGCCTTTGAAAAGATTCACCAAAAGCACATTTTATTTTGAAATTTCATTTGAAGTCTAAACATGACTATTATACCATATTTTAAATACACCATATTTTGACTCTGAGTGTCTTCTATGATATTTGTATTTACCCAATAAGGCTGCTGAGCTATTTTAGAGCTCCATCATTTTCTTTGTTTGCATCTGCTGAATAAAATTTATATACAAGTGGGATAATGTTAAAAGCGATGGTTCTAGAGTTTCTTGCAGATATAATGTCAGAATATATAACAAGACATCATATATTTACAAAGGCATGATGGAATGTTATAGATTACATATTTATTATTAATCTAATGATTGAAATTATAAATGTTAAACCCCTTTCCAATTTTATTTCTGATTAAAACACAAATTCCTTACTGTATTCTCTTTGGGCTAGCTTGGCGTTAGTTTAATAAGTCAATGGGCAACTTTTTAAGAAAAATTAATTGGATTTCTCATTTGAGAAGAAAAGGAAAAAAAATTGTTAAGACTTTCTAACTGTGAAGCAAAGCTCCCGATTTTTATACTAAATCAGTAAGCAAACAATGTTTGTTTTTAAAATCATGTTGTAAACATAACTAAGTCATAATGTGCTAATAATTATTTTAATTTTATACATCTTACTTTTAGTGCAATAATATTTTATTGATTATAATAGTAAGACATTCTATATTTCTCCAACTGTATATTTTATTTTTAACTTAAAAACCATCCTATATAAAATAATATTAACTTTTCAATTTTACATTATATTTACATAATTTTAATCTCTAGTCAATATATTAAAGAATTTAATTTTCATCTTAGGAAATTTTTCTTCATAGTAATACTTCTGATTCATTATATTAAAGAAATTGAAAATCAAATGATAAACTTGAAATGCTTTTGTGTGGAAACACACTATTTTTATTGTCTGTCCCTTTCCTTAGCTAGATTCTTTGCATCATTCTTTTCAAGATAAAATGAATGTTGAACTTCCATATCTTTCTTAATGGAATAGTTAACTATTATATAGTGTACTTGATTACATATGGTTAGTACCTATATGTTGGATAATTGTATTACATGTTTTTTCTTTAAACATTCTTTGTAAAACTTAAGTTTTTTATGGTCAAAATCTTGTTCATGATTTATATAAAAGAAATCAGTTCAAAAAATAAAGAAGGCCACCCCCCCCAAAAAAAAACAACAACAACAAGATTTATCTAGCTGAAGTAACATTTTTAAAAAATGAGAGTTCACTTATATTACTTTATCAGCAATAATAGAAATAAAAATGCTAAAGATCACCCAGAAAAATCTGTAATAATAAAAGCGTAATATACTAATTAGACCGAATGACATTCTGGATGAAGCCGGGGCTGCAAGGGAAGCCCAGGTCCCCGGTCCAGAGGGAAGCTGGTGCCGGCAGCCGGGGGAAGGAACGCCTACTCTTGCACGAATTTCGTGCATCGGGCCTCTAGTAAATAAATAAATAAGCCTTCCAATACAGTTATATGGTTATAATCAAATAATATGTCTGAGTTAAATTGCCTGAGTTGTTTATATTTATTAAGATGCAGCAATACTATGTAAATTTACCAAATTCTATGTAAATGTCAACTATATTTTCAATTGAAAGTATGATATTTCAAACCTACATTGATATTAAATGTTCTCTATTTTTTCTTGTCATTTTTATTTTATCAAATACGTAGTTATAGCTATTTTATGGTTATATCTGTATTCCAAACTTATGAAGTTTCTAACTATATTTAATTGACTTTACATATTGACCATTTTCTATATGAATTTAAACTCTTTTGATAAATATGAAACTGGAACTTGTTGGCTATAAATTTTAGGGCCAATAAATGTTGGTATTAGTAATAACATCAATTAAGATAAAGGGTTAAGATTTAAAGCACATAGGCCAATAATAAAAATTAAAAACAAACACATGTTAATCTCATTTTTCTTGCCAAGTGATGGTAAAAAAAATACCTCCAAATTAATTTTTTTATAAGTAGTTAGAAACACAGCTTAATTCTCTGAGGAATTTATGCTCTGTCAATATTACTGCTGCAAACAACTCTTAATACTGGATACAATTTTCCTTTACATTTGAACTTGGAGACCCCTAGTAAGCACCTATTATATGTTAGACAATATGCAAGTACTTCATTCACACCATCTCAACCGATTCTCATACAAATCCTCTATACATACTTATCCCACTTTATGAGTTAAAAAACTGAGGCCAGAGTAATTGCCCAAGTTCATGTAAGCAGTAAGTGATGGAACCGGAGCTCCATGGCATCCTGACCCCAAAGCCCAGGCTCTTCCACAACACCCTTCCACCATCAGACAAGGAAATGTGTCCACTCACAAAACTGACCTATAATAATAAACTTTATCTTGTGGCCAAGCACTTCCATGATAATTGCATACATTATGCATGAGTCTTTTGTGCAAGTCCACATGTACACCAAAGCCAAGTCTTATTACAATATTTGCACAATGTTGTCTATGCGTGCCTTTGAGGATTTGTTTTACAATCTCTCCTAAGATTTCTGCACCTAATCCCCATCACATTCCTGTTCAGAAATTAACAGTATTTTCAAATACTGACCATTTAAAAAAATGATCTGTAGACTAGATAATATACTTATCTGTACTCCTGATTTTATGATGAGCTCTAATGGGTGGAAATCTGAATTCTGGAGAATTCACATTTTTATCACTGACCACGTGGTAGGTTATTTCCATATTTAATTTCATTTAATTCTCACAACAGCCATTTGAAATGCATATATAGAATGAATAGATGGAAATATATAAAAATAGTAAGTGATGTTTCAACATTAAATTTTATTTTATTTTAAAATTTTTTATAATTTTGAAAATTTTAAATTACAGTTGACATACAATATTATATTAGCTTCAACTATAAACATAGGGATTAGACATATATATAACTTTATAAAGTAATCTCCCTGATAAATGTAATAATCACCTGATAACATGCATTGTTATTACAGTATTACTAGCTATATTCCGTATGCTTACTGTACATCCCCCTGAAAACCTATAGATAACTTTTATTAAAAATTTATGTGAGCCAAACAGAGGATACATCTGGGAGCAAGATCTCAGCAGACTGAGAAAAATGCTTTCTTTTTATTCCTTATTTTATTGTATTTTCCATAGTAGTATATACTATGATTATAAATTTAATAAAGTAATAACCACTGAATCAAAATTTATTTGTTAAAGGATATTTATATAGAAAGTGATAGACCCAGAATCAAAGTCTATAATTTCCCCTGCCCCACACTCTCCTAAAAAGCACTTTTCAGACCTCTCATGAATTATATCTGTGTCGCCATTATTTAATTTATTGCTATAATTTACATTGAGTATGGAGTCATTTGGAAAAAAAGAGGACCAGAAAGTTGATTTTTCAATTTATGAATTCATTTGTTCATCTGATCACAACCACTAAGAAAACCAAAATATATAATTTATTTATTTTTTCAATGCTTTATCCACTTTGCAAAAATTCTTTCAAAACCTTCATTTGAATGGATCTGGCAGGCTAGAACATCCTTGGGAAATGCATTCAGGCAGGGTTTCATTTGTGAGGCTACTGATGAATGAACAAATTTATTGGACTGAATTTAGAAAAAGCAAATCCAGTTTATGGCCTTCTTGCATACGATCACACAGTCAAATATTTTGATATTAATCATCCTCTGGCCAAATGACAAACGTAGCATTTTTTTCCTTTAGTTATTTTTGGTTTCAAATAAATAGATGATATAAACTT